GTTAAGTGTTAGGATACCAAGATACGTAAGCCAGCCCCTATCTGGGGGATGGGGGGGTCCTCCTATGGTTGTAACTGGGGAAGGCTTCTGGAAGCTGTTTCAAAGAGAGAGGAAGGTAAATAGAAATAGAAGTCAGGAGCTAAAGGGCATCTTGTCTGCTTCTGTTCTCAGATCTTAGACAAACTCTTGGACCGAGAGAGCCAGACGCATAAGCCCCAAACACTGAGTTCGTTCTACTCATCCAGCCGCCCAGCCACAGCCAGCCAGAGGTCTCCTTCAAAGCATGGGGGCCCATCTGCCCCAGGGGCCCTGCAACCACTGACCTCGGGCTCTGCAGGGCCTGTTCAGCCAGGGAGTGTGGCAGGGACTGGGCCAGGCCCCACTGAGGGCTTCACAGAGAAGAATGTGCCTGGTGAGGTGGGGGCACTGGGCAGGGGGGATGAATGGTATAGGAACCATGTTGGGGTCCCCTTTCCTGAGCTCATCCCAATGTCCTATTTTCTCCCACCTAGAAAGTTCCCCACATTCTCCCTGTGAGGGTCTCCCATCTGAGGCAGCCTTGACCCCAAGGCCAGAAGGGAAGGTTCCTAGCCGCCTGGCACTCGGCAGTCGTGGAGGCTACAATGGACGGGGCTGGGGCTCCCCAGGGCGGCCTAAGAAGAAACACACAGGTATGACAGCCTGTGGGATGACATGGAGGGAAGGATATTCCTGAAGTCTGAACTCTGGAACTTCTGGCTTCTGAGACTGACTTGTCTTGGGGGGTTAGGCATGGCCAGCATTGACAGCAGTGCCCCCGAAACGACGTCGGACAGCTCCCCCACCTTAAGCCGGAGGCCACTTCGAGGGGGCTGGGCCCCCACCTCCTGGGGCCGAGGACAGGACAGTGACAGCATTAGCAGTTCTTCCTCGGACTCCCTGGGCTCCTCGTCCTCCAGTGGAAGTCGCCGGGCCAGTGCCAGTGGAGGGGCCCGGGCAAAGACCGTTGAGGTTGGCAGGTCAGTGGAAGAAATACCCATCTCCTCTCCTCTGGCCCACCCTCAGAGCCACATCCCTAGTGTAATCCAGCTAATGTTCCCCCGTAACCCCACTTACCCTGGTCTTACCCGAACAACCTGGATACCCATTTCAGAGAAACCCCAATCCCCGTCCCTACCCCATTGCCCCTTCAGGTACAAGGGCCGCCGTCCCGAGAGTCATGCCCCCCATGTACCCAATCAGCCATCAGAGGCAGCTGCACACTTCTACTTCGAGTTGGCGAAGACGGTGCTGATCAAGGCAGGGGGCAACAGCAGCACTTCCATTTTCACACATCCATCTTCCTCAGGGGGCCACCAGGGTCCTCACCGCAACCTGCACCTTTGCGCCTTCGAGATTGGGCTTTATGCCCTTGGCCTGCACAACTTTGTTTCTCCCAACTGGCTCTCACGTACTTATTCTTCCCACGTTTCCTGGATTACAGGTAAACCCAGTGTCTTGATTTGGGTATGGGAGGGGGGGATTTATTGATAGAGCTGAGAGTCTTATCCTCGTGGAATTACTGATCTCAGACACCACTTGCACTCCCCAGAGGTGCCCGTACTCACCCCATTCTGATTTTTGCTCCTTTCCCTGAAGGTCAGGCAATGGAGATTGGCAGTGCAGCTCTGACTATACTGGTAGAGTGCTGGGATGGACACCTGACACCCCCTGAGGTTGCATCCCTGGCTGACAGGGCATCACGGGCACGAGACTCCAATATGGTGAGGGCAGCGGCGGAGCTAGCCCTCAGCTGCCTGCCTCATGCCCATGCATTGAACCCTAATGAGATCCAGCGGGCCCTGGTGCAGTGCAAGGAGCAGGTATTTCTATGGGCAATCTGGGGACCTGCTTTGAGGCATCTGGGCAGGGACTTTGGGCATGAGGAAAATCAATAGTTCAGCTCTTGATTCCTGTGTCCTGGAGCTCACACATTATCCCATTTGTCCTGTTGTGCTGTTAATGCACTTTCACATCCATTTCTTCTTTCACCATATGACTCTGAGATTAGGATTATTCCTATTTTATAGTTTAAGGAAATGAAGGCCTGTGCTTTAGGGATGGAGGCGATCAGCAGGCTGGAATACTCAGGGCAGACTTTAGGGAGACAGTGGAACTGGATGGGAGGGGGTGTAAGTTAGTTTGGAACTAGGACTATAACCTGGGTCTTCTACTGGTCAGTTGTTTGTTCAGCGTCTGTGTGAAGCACTCATTACTCTGACACGGACTCTGAGCATTGGCCTGACCTCTGATGCCTCCCCGGGAACCAGCCAACTCAGAGGTGGTGGAATGTCATTTAAGAGCGACCCTGAGGGAAGCCCCTCCCATTAACCCTCTGTGTCCCTCCCTTCCAGGATAACCTGATGTTGGAGAAGGCCTGCATGGCAGTGGAAGAGGCGGCAAAGGGTGGGGGTGTATACCCCGAAGTGTTGTTTGAGGTTGCTCACCAGTGGTTCTGGCTATATGAGCAAACAGCAGGTGGCTCATCCACAGCCCGTGAAGGGGCTACAAGCTGTAGTGCCAGTGGGATCAGGGCAGCTGGGGAGGCTGGGCGGGGGCTGCCTGAGGGCAGGGGGGGCCCAGGGACTGAGCCGGTTACAGTGGCAGCGGCAGCAGTGACAGCAGCAGCCACAGTGGTGCCAGTCATCTCAGTGGGGTCCAGTCTATATCCAGGTCCAGGACTGGGGCATGGTCATTCCCCTGGCCTGCACCCCTACACTGCTCTACAGCCCCACCTGCCCTGCAGCCCTCAATACCTCACCCACCCAGCACACCCTGCCCACCCAATGCCTCATATGCCCCGGCCTGCCGTCTTCCCTGTGCCCAGCTCTGCATACCCACAGGTGAGACCAGTGTTCTGGGGGGTTGGGCAGGTGGAAAAACATTGAGGGTTCGTGTGGGGTTGGAGTGGGGTCCTCTGGGAGAGTCCTAGGGCTGTCCTGGTGAGGTGGTGGAGGTCTGGGGGACCCAGGCCAGCCAACTAAGATAAAAAAATGTAGGGACACCAGTTGTGGGACCAAGGGGGAGAGCTACATCTTAATAGAATTCTCTTCTCTTCTCCCTGTCTTTAGGGTGTACATCCTGCCTTCTTGGGGGCTCAGTACCCTTACTCAGTGACTCCCCCCTCACTTGCTGCCACTGCTGTGTCTTTCCCCGTCCCTTCCATGGCACCCATCACAGTACATCCCTACCACACAGAGCCAGGGCTCCCACTGCCCACCAGTGTGGCCTGTGAGTTGTGGGGACAGGGAACAGGTGAATGGAGGGGAGGTACACAGGGCAGGGAGTTGGGGGAGGAACCCTCTCTGTCCCCTTTTGGGCCCGGGAGTTCCTCATCTGGCTTTCATCCCACCCTCAGTGAGCAGTGTCCATCCAGCATCCACGTTTCCAGCCATCCAGGGTGCCTCGTTGCCTGCCCTGACTACACAGCCCAGCCCTCTGGTGAGCGGGGGGTTTCCACCACCCGAGGAGGAGACACACAGTCAGCCCGTCAACCCACACAGCCTGCACCACCTGCACGCTGCCTACCGTGTTGGTGAGAGGAGGTCCCTTTTTATGCCCCAACCTGCAGTTGTGCCACAGGCTCTTCAGCGACACCTCCCTCCCCACAGCTCTTAATTGGTTTACTGTGGGGTCAGGTGTACCATGTTGGGGTAGAGGATGAAAAAGGATGTACCCCCACTGTGTGCCCACCCTCTTCTCCCAGGAATGCTGGCACTGGAGATGCTGGGTCGCAGAGCACACAATGATCACCCCAACAACTTCTCCCGCTCCCCCCCCTACACTGATGATGTCAAATGGTTGCTGGGGCTGGCAGCAAAGCTGGGTAACACCTCCTCTCCCCAGGACCATTGTCCGCCCCCCTCCCGCTTCCCCCACCTTCCTATCCCAGACCTCCTTCCTAGCTCTTGCTCAGAGTTGAGGCCTTGGTCGGGTATGTGTGCGTGCGCGGGGGGTGGGGGGGTTACCTCAGCTCCTAGGGTGGAGGGAGGCTCTCTGCCAGGCCAGAGCTGAGAGATAAAAGTTGGGTCCCTAGGGCAGAGGTGGCCACCCCCGTCTCATGCCCCTCCCCCTGCCCCCCAGGAGTGAACTACGTGCACCAGTTCTGTGTGGGGGCAGCCAAGGGGGTGCTGAGCCCGTTTGTGCTGCAGGAGATCGTCATGGAGACGCTGCAGCGGCTGAGCCCTGCTCATGCCCACAACCACCTGCGTGCCCCGGCCTTCCACCAACTGGTGCAGCGCTGCCAGCAGGCATACATGCAGGTGACAACCTAGGAAGTATGGAGTAGGGCAGAGCACTTCCTGGGTAGGCAGGGAACAGATTACCCCAGGCGCTAGGGAGGATGGGCCTGGTTCTGTGCTTAGTGGCTCATCCTCTTCTAGTACATCCACCACCGCTTGATTCACCTGACCCCTGCCGACTACGACGACTTTGTGAACGCGATCCGCAGTGCCCGCAGCGCCTTCTGCCTGACACCCATGGGCATGATGCAGTTCAACGACATCCTGCAGAACCTCAAGCGCAGCAAACAGACCAAGGAGCTGTGGCAGCGGGTCTCCCTCGAGATGACCACCTTCTCCCCATGAGTCTGGCCCCTCTACGGTCCTATACAGGGACACAGGCCTGTGGCTATGGGGGCCCCTCACACAGAGGGAGTGAATCTTGGCTGGACAGATCATCCCCACTCAGTTCTCTGGTAGCCCAGACTGGCAGCTGCTCTTGGGCTGTAGCTTGGGGCCAAGATGTCTCAGACCCTAGAACCTTAGGGTTGGGGGAGACAGCCCTGTCTGGGAGGGGGCATTGGGTGGCCTCTGGTATTTATTTGGCATTTATAAATATATAAACTCCTTTTTTACTCTAGTCTGCCTGGGCCTTTGCCTTCTTTCCCTCCACGTGCAGATGAGCTTTGAACCGGGGTGGGGGAAAAGACTGATACTTGCTTTAGTCTAAGTTCCTCTCACTCCAGTGAGGCAGACAAAACAGAAAAATAAGGATGTTTATTTAAGGACATTTCTAGCCCACAGCTAGGGCTCATACTTAGCTCTATGAGCCACTGTCCGGCCTCGTCCCCATTCAATGTGAATGACATTAGGGAGGCCGGGCCACAGGTAGATCCCATTGATCCCACAGTAGGGGGTCCCTCCCATAGTCAGGTATAGATATACTGCTGAGGATGAAGAGGGAAATCACTGGATTAATAAGTTCCTCTACACCCTGCCTGGACCCTTTCATTCCTGCCCACCTTCCAAGACCATGGGTCAAAGATGCCTAGTACCACGATGTGGGGTATCAAGGGAAGCCCCTTTATAAGACCCCAGAGCTGTGGGAAAGGACTGCCCTTCCCTTCTCAGCCATCCCAGGCCTGGGGGCCACTGAGGTAGAAGGGGCAGGGGCTGGGCCACTCTATCCCTCTTGTGGGCCCTTCTCTAGGCTTGCCCTTTAGGGAAGCAGGGGGCTTTTGCTGGTACAGGAGGCCCGGACATCAGCCCAGACTGGAATGCTGCAGTTCTTCCCGAAGCCATGAGGGCACTGGCTGTCCAAGCCGGCTTAGCAGCTTCGACAGATCCAAATTGTGGTTCCGGAAAAAATCCGTAAGAAAAAGGCGGGACTAATAGGAGAAAAATGGAGGCAGAAATGGTAAGGAGTGGGACAAGGATGAGATCTTAGAGGTAGAGAGGGATACCTTGTCCCAGGCTTTACTTACCTCAGTGTCCATATCTGGATACCTTCGGCCTTTGCTCTTCCCGAGACAGCGAGTCTTACCACCTTCAAGTCCCTGGCACCAGAATCCCTTATCTTCATCAAACCTGCTTGATGAGAAGAGGCCACTGGTTGGTAGGGAGAAAGGAAATTCAAACCCCAGAAATGTACACTACCTCTCCCAGCTCACAGGGACACACATCTCTTCCAAACAGACATGGTCAACCTGCTTCCCCATTTCCCCCAGATTCCTCCTCCCCTGGGTCATACTCTCCCACCTGAGGGTCCGTGTGTAGTTCAGAAAGGGTGTGATACCCAGGAACTTCTGGATGCTCTCCATTGAGGCAGCTGGGTTGGTACGCAGCTCTTGCCCATCCACAATCAGCAACTAAAGGGACAGGGATGTGGTTTCTTCTGTATTCCTTAGAAGCCTCTAGACTGAAGGAAGAGGAAGGGAAGGGGGACCCCAACAGGGTCTATTGGGGGACTGTACCTGTCCGGAGGGATAGTAAGTCAGCCAGCGCTGCAGATGGGTGGAATAGTAGCCAGGGACAAGACAGCGGTTCTGCAGGGAGCGAAGTGCCAGAGGGGCCTGAGAGGAGGCGGATATCACCTGGTAGAAGGTATAATTCAGAGCAACTGGGTCTCCATGTGCTCGCTGGTGCTGAAGGACAAGGAATAGGAAGGGAAGGGATGGGTGATTTGAGAATTACTCTGCCCTACTCTTGGTCTGGTGGATAAACAGCATAAGAACCCCTCCCCAGAGCGACTGGCTTAGTTTCCCTACCCTCTTCCTTCTGTCGCTCTAGCAGTCACCACTTCTCTCACTTAAGCCCTAACGTATCCCTAGTTTCAGGCTCACCTGATACCAGGAATAGGCCCTGTCAGCAGGGTTGGTGAGCACAGTGATGATCTTGGCTCGTGGCAGGAGAGCAGCCCCCCGACGTGGTACAACCTCTGAGTCAAAGTAGGTGGCACTTTTTTCAAACAGAAAGTCAGTGCTTGCGTTGGAAGGGACAGGGAAGAAGTCCATGTACCTAGGAAGTAGTACAGATGAGAGGCAGAGAATTTGCAAAGTGAAGGGGCCAAACATCTGTGCTAGTGGAAGTTGGAACGGGGTATTTTGAGGGAAGGGAGTGTTCCTCTGAGAAACATTCCAAGGGTCCCAGTCTCACCAATCAATGCCCTTGTGGTAATTAGGGCCGTTGAAGAACTGAATCTCCTCAAAGGTGCTGGGGCTAGGGAAGCTGCTAGTCACAGCTGGGTGCAGGCTCAGGAAGAAGTGAATAGCTGTGGTCCCTAAGCAGGAGAGAAAGTTCAGGCTATTGTGGGAAAGAAACCAGATCAACAACATGGACTTTAAGGAGGTGAGAAAATAACTACTCTGGGTAGTAATATCCCCTTTGGACAAACTAGAATGAGAGACGCAAAGACTGAGAGAAGCCCAGGGAAGTGTTAGAATAGTTTTCAGCCTTGACTGGATCAGAATCACTTGTGGATTTTTCTAAATATTTTATTCATTCATCTCTCTCGCACACACACAGGCAGAGACATAAGCAGAGGGAGAAGCAGGCTCCCCACGGAACTTGATCTCAGGACCCTGGGACCATGACCCGAGCAAAAGGCAGATACTCAACCATTGAGCCACCCAGGTGCCCTCACTTGTGGATCTTAAAAACAAAACAAAACAAAACACAGATGGTTCTGATGCACCACCAGAATTAAGAAACACTGTCTTAAGAGACTGGATTAAGGAGGGGTGGGTATGTGAAGGGAATTCTTTGGCCAAAGAATCCTTTGGGTGTAAGGGAGGGAAAGAGAAGTTAGCTAGGGATGATTCACCTGTCTTCTGGGGGCCCACAATCAGGAACTTGGGGAGCCGATCACAGGTTTTCTCCTTGGACCAGATATCTTTGTGCCTCTTGTCATCACAAGGATTCTGAAGATGAAGCAAAGAATCAGATGTCTAATCTTTTCCTCAACCCTCCCCGCCCTCATCACATCTCTGGTCACCCTGAGCTCCACCCATACCTGCCAAAGGGGGCTTCGCTCTTGAGGGAACAGTTCAAAGTACTTTCGTGCGAGAGGGACAGGAGGAAGGGTCTGTAGGCGCAGCCGTGTCCAGCACTGGAGGAAGCGCACCAGGCTCTCAAAGGTATACAGGCCCAGCCGATCATTTCCATAATTGGACAGATGGGTCATAAAAATGCTGATCTGTAAGGGGGTGCCTGCATGTCAGAATTGGAGAGCCTACCCCACCTCAGAATCAGACTTGGTAAGCAAAGGTCCCAGCCTCCATACACTTCAGCCCTCCAGTCTTCTAGCCCTTCCTCTCAGCACCTTACCGGATTAAGCAGCACTGTCAGAAAGAGCTCTCCACCTCGGATGCTCCTGTCTAGTTCACGAGAACCTCCGGGATATTCGTTATAGAAGATTGTGTGAGTGAAGAGGCCACATGTCTGCCGTGGCAGTACCTAGAAGAAGGGGGTTGGAGGCGGGGGGGGGGGGTGGGGAAGAGATGAGATTTGAAAGGTGGAATGAAAAGCAGATAAGGAACAAAAGTCCTACAGCATTACGATTCCTTGGGTTTGTAGAGGACTGAGTTATACCAATAAAACTCCTAGTATGTGCACTATGATGTTTTACCCCTCTACCCCCTATTATGTAAACTTCGACTAGAAGTTGATAGGATGGAAGTCAATGCAGGGTGGTGGTTGTCTAAACATAGGAGTTTGATTCAAGTTTGTGTTGGGGGTCCCTCACCATAATGCCATTGTGAATGAAGCCACGGCGGTAGCGGGCAGGGCGGAGATGGGGGTACTCCTCAGTGCTGGTCACCTGGATGCCCCACACAGATTTCCAGGCCTCATAGAGCTGCGTGTGGATGGGGTATACACCCGAGTGGTGGGGGGCCACAGCATACCCCAGATCCGTGGGAATCCCATGCTCCTGGGAATGGCATAGACTCTCACCAGGACCTGGTGAGGTTTAGGGAGTAGAGGGTAAAGAGGGTGGGGATGCCTCCACGGAAAGAAAAATGGACAGGGTAGGGAAAGGGTACCCATTAGGGGAAGGTTGAAAAGGAAGCATTATCTTTGGGCAAAAGTATGGGGACGAGATCCAAGTGTCTCACCAGAGCAAACTGTTTGTTGAGCCTCATCTGGTCAGCCAGCACGGAGCGATTGTGGAACAGGTGTGGCTGCATGTGGCTCCACATGTGGGGGAACCACCAGAACTCTCTGCGGTGCTTCAGCAGCATGTCGTCCCCTGCGTCCTCCTCCTCTGTCCCTATGATCACACACTGACCACTGACCACAGCCGGTTGGGCCCTGTGCCCTCCTCTGTTCCGTAACAATACTGACCACCTTCCATTCTTTGGACAAGATTGTTGACCTCTGCCTACCTAAGCCTATCTGTCCCCCCGCTAACTTGTCTTCCAGCCAACCATGCTAACCTAAATTCACATCCGCCGCCCGCTCCGCACAACATTTTGATCCCAAACCCTGCCCCTTTTCTCCAACTTGTCTACCCAGGAAGATGAACAGTGAAGGGACAGATCACACTAAGACTGATATGCTGAGAGGGCAGAAGAATACTCACCAGTATGATAAAACTTGCCCGAGAAGCCCAGGTTGAAGGTGAAGTTGGGGACTAAGGTCCTGAGTTTGTTCTGGGTGGTCAACAGAGCCTGGAAAAGGTGGTAGGAACACGAGAAATCATGAGAGCACATTAAACAGAAGAAAAATGAGAAGCAGTGTACTTCCTGACTGAAAAGGGCAGAGATTATACCGATGACAAGCTCAGAGTCAGGGTAGTCTGATAGGATAGAGCTTGAAACAGCTTCTAAGGAAAGAAATTGGAGGAAAAAGACTGACCTCAACATCAGCCACCTTCATGCGGGTACCTTCCTTGCCCACAAAGATGTCATCGATGTCTACTAAGATGTAGCGGTCAAGGTCTAGGCAGAGGCGCTTGCCAGTGAGGTACGCAACAGCATCAACAAAAACAAGCTTGTGAAGCCAGAAGGAAAGGCCATGGCCAAAGAGCACCCGTTGGATGCCATCATGAAGCCCCAGGTCCTGTATGACAGTGGGAAGCCGGGTCCGGCGAGGCACTGGTACTGGCACAGGGGGCTCAGCTGGCCGAAGGCTGGCAAGAAGCACTGGTTCATATGTGCTATGATTGGATTGGAAGATGGTCCAGTCATCACCAGGCAGTGGCCCAGGTTCTAGGCGGCTGGGGCGTGTGAGATGCAGTAGGGGGGCAGAAGGATTCACTTGGTAGTCCCGGAGCCCCAAATTTGAGTGTAGAAAAAGGGGAAAGCCCTTGAGCTGGGCACTCAGTAGGCTATGTTCATGGGCTCGGAAAAAGCCAATGATGCCCACACCATACTCCACACAGTACCGGTCTAGCAGTTCCCGACTCCATGCATCCAAGTTGACATACTTGAGCAGGTTTTCATAAATGACCAAGACATAGCGGCCACGGGTATGATCAGTCAGTGTGGGCATGTCCCCTCGGCCAGGTGCTAGCTCGGTGCTATAACGAAAACGACTAGACTCCAAGATGGCCACAATCTCCTGTCCCAGCTGGGAGTATGCACTCTCCACAAATACAAGGACCACAGGTTCAGTTCGAGCTGTCTCTGGTGGCCTGGGGGGCCGTGGCGGGACTGGAGGACGCACAGGGCCAGGGCCAGCTGCCCCACCACTGCTGCAGTCTCCCAAGGGCAGGGGCAAGGGTTCCTTGGCCTTGGGGCTGGTGGACACATAGTAAGCCAGGAAGCCCATGGAGCCCAGACTGAAAGCAATCAGCAGCAGTATGAGGCGGTGCAGTTCCAGCTGCCGAGCTGGGCGTACCACCTTCCACAGCTTGAGCATGGCGGGGAAGGGGAGGCGGGGAAGGGGAAGCAGGGATGGGGACTACCTCAGGGGATGGGAGGTAGGAGTTCTATAGGCTGGGGCTCTCTCAGGAGGGTAGAAAGATAGGAAAATAAGGGAAAAGGATTTCCTCAGGGTCAGTCCCCTGAAAAGCTGGAGTCAAGTACCCTTACTTTAGGGTAGGGGAGTCAGAAGGGGCAATAAGGGGCAACTGGACAGAGTCCATTGGTCTCAGGTCACCATGGCCCCCTGCTCCATGGCTTCAGGATGCAAATCTAGCGAGGTTCCACTCTCCGTCCTGCTGAGCTCCTCACATCAAAGGTTAACAAAGTTCATCATCTCTGCTCTCACTATTTATAAGACAGAGAAATCAATGGGTTACTTCTCCACCTGAAAGTGTATCTTTAATCCATTCCCCTCTTCACGCATCTCTCTTACCTCCTGCTCACAGGATGATTTCTTTTCCAAAAAAAGCTCCTGCAGAAGAACAACACAATCCGGGTCTCATACTTTCATTTCATAGCTTGTTCCCTTTCTGAAAACACTGTCTAAATTCCCCTTCCTGAGCTAATTTCTGAGCTAGAGCAGTATATTCAAGGGTTGGAAGGGAATAAATCTCATCAACAAGAGATCAAACAGTCCAGGAGGCTGAAAATGAACCTGCTCTGAAAAAAGTTCCCAGCCCAAGACTGAGCAGTTGGTCAGCCAGCAGGAGCTCTGGTCGGCCTGGGAGGGAGGGACGGAAAGCCCCACAAGTCCCGTGCTCCAACGAAGTATCAGATAAGAGGAAACTCATGAGTCTGTTAATCTTCCTCATCAATCAAACCCAACATCACAAGCTAAAAGCACTAACGAACTTGCAGTCAGGAGGACGCTAGGGTGGGGGTAGTTGAAGAGGCAAGAGAAATGCTGCTAGGTAATCAGTCAATTCACTTCCAAATCCAGAACCTGGGAACTCTCTTTTCCATTGCTTGTGAAAAATTACTCAGCCCCTGCCCTTCACCTCACCTGCACCAGTGTCAGAGAGGTGACAAAAATGTAGCCCCAGGGCAGGCCACATCACTGGGGCCTGAGATAACCCGGAGAGCTGACTCCAGAGTCTCCTCTCTATCACTTTAGCTTTCCTTCCTAACTTAGCCTAGGTGATACTATATCCTCATCACTGAACAGCTCAGGAAGGTCCTGAGCTAAACTGTGGAGACACGAGGGATTGAAGCCTGTTTCAAAAACAGCAAACTGAGTGGGGCTGGATGAGAGCAACAGGAACTTAAGTCATATCCAACCAATAAGAGAGAGGTAAGGACAGTGTGATCAGAAAACATCAGGGAGGCCTAATTTTGGAGACTGTTTTCTTAAATAGATAGACTGCTTCTAGAAGCTTTACTGCTCCTCTCTCCAGCTCAGCCATTCCTAGTAAGGCCAGTGACTGACAATCCCACTCTACTGCCCCCCTCCCAGACACACACATCTCAGGGGTGATTAGGCAGAGACAGAGTTCCTTGGAATTGGGAGATAATTTAAGAACAGCTGGGCTTTGGCCTGGGTCAAATTAATGGACGTGAGAAAAAAAAAAAAAAAGCTCGGGGAGGATCAAAATGGTGATGGGAAGGGGTAATCTCAAGAGTTAAAGGAAACTGGAGGGAAAACGGAGTAGTGAGAAGTCATCACGGGGGGGGGGGAGTGAACACTCAGGGTGTCTCACCCATTAATGGTAAGAAAAACAGCAAATAGTTACTGAGAGCTTACTCTTCGTCAGACATTCTTCTAAGAGCTTTCCAAATATTTAACGCTCACACCAGCCCTGGGAGGTAAGGTAAGGAGTAGATACTATTATTATCCCCGTTTTACACAGGAGTAATCTGAGGTCCAGAGAAGCTTAGTAACTTGCCCAGGATCACACAGCCCAGTGAGTGGAGGGCTTCAGAGTCAGGCCCGTCAAGCTCCACAGCCGGTGCTCGTAAACCGCTGCATGTCGGCTTCACACCTAGAAGCAGCAGCGATACTCAGGGAAGGGGCGCCCCGGGAGCTACTGGGGTAGAGCGCGGGGTGGGATGGCAAACCCCGAAGCAGGGACGCGGGGCAGGGGTGCTGCGCGTGTGGGCAGCGCCGGGAGGTCTTGGGGGCAGAAACCGCGGGGGTCACCGGGCCTGGGCTGGGCGACAGCACCCGGGCTAAGGGACCGGGAAGGCGGGGCTGGGGGCCCCGCGCGGGGAGACGAGCGCTGCGGCCGCTGGCGGAGGAGGGGGCGCCGAGCAGCGACGACGGGATGCGGGGCTGGCGCACCGGGGGGGGGCTCGGGCGGGGGGTCCCTGCGGAGGAGGTACATGCGGTCACAGGTGGACGCCAAGGGAGCGCCAGCCGGGAGCCCGGGCAAGGGACGCGCTGAGGAGAGCCGGGGGTGACATCGACGCAGGCGTCGGGCTGGGAGAGCCCAGAGGGAAGGCGGAGCCCCGCACCGAGGGCACTGAGGCAACCGGGAGGGCGGAGGGTGGAAGGGCCGCGGGAGAGGGCAGCGCGGGGCCGCGCCGAGGGCCGCCCGGGACAAGCCCGCGGGTGGTGATGGTGGCAACACTGAGGGGAAGTGTGAGGGGAGGAACTGCGGGCGACCGCGGGGGGGGCCACAGTCTGAGGGGGGGTGGTTACCCTCAAGGGCGGCTCACCCGGCGGACTAGGCGGCGTCCCCGCTGGCCCCGGGCTCCGCCGCGTCCCGGGGCTGCCCGGCTTCCCAGCTCTCGGGGCCTCTGGCCGCGTCGCCGCGGCTCCGCCATCTCCGAGCGAACGCTCTGCCGCAGCCGGGCCCAACCACCGCGGCCACCCGGGGGGGGGAGGCGGCGCGCTGCCGCTCGCGGCGCCCGCTCGGGTCCCCGCGGAGTCCGCGCCTCGCAGCCGCGCTGCCGCGCTGCCGGGCAGCCGAGCCGCCCTCCGCAGCGCCCTGGGCAGCCTCGGCCTCCCAGACGGCGGGCCGCGCGCCCCGCCCGCAGAGGCGCTCCCCCACCTCCCCGCCCGGTGGCACAGTCCGGCGAGCGTCGGGCGCCGGGGCTCCCGGGGCGGGGGCGGGGCCAGGCTACGGGCTCGTCCACTCCGACCGGCGCAGGGGGAGCCGAGCGGGCCCGCGGAGGGCGAGGGGGCGGGGCGGCCCCTGGCGCGGGCGGGGCCGGGGGCGGGGCGAGACCCCGGCACTCCGCCGCGGGCCCGCAGCGTCGCTCCCCAGCCTGACTCGCCTTGGCCGCCGCAGCCAGCCGGGCGGGCTGCTTGGAGGCTGAGGAGTTTGTGAGGAAGTTTTATTCTAAAACGGGCCCCAAGGGAGTGGGAGAAGCTACATGTCTCCGTCTGAGGCCCTGTAACCCAGGCTGCTAAATCTTAAGCCCTTGGCCATCAGCCTCCAACAGCAGTAACACAATGGACTGTTTAAAGGTTATTTTATTAAATATCTTCAGTTCAAGGTTTCATTGTAACAAAGCTATGAAGGGTCTACCAACATTCAGAACAAACACTATTTTTAAATTATTTCTATGTCATCATGCAAAAATTCTGCATCAAATGCCTTCCATTTCCTGTTTTAAAAGGTGATTTTTTTTTTTTTTAATAGTCTATTGTCTATAGATGCTGACATTAGCCCCAGAAGAGGAGTAAGAACGCTAAGAAGTGGGGCTGGAGCAGCCATATGAAGCTATGGGTCTTAATGAACTCTAAGACCATTTTTCCTCAAGCCAGCAAAACCAAACCCTGTGGTGAAGGCGTCTGCGTGCTGGTACTGCAGGCTGCAGGGCAAGAAAGGGCGAGGGCCCAGGGGCTGAGGCATGCATGAGGTGCTCAGAGGAGCCTGGCTAAACCCAAGCACCAGCACCCGTGAGTCTGCTCTCTTCTCAGCTGGCTCCAAGGTAAACCTGTAGCTTTGCCTCTTCTCCCAGCTCCTGTGCCCCCTGAAGGTAGTCCAGGAAGCTAGGGCTTACCCACCTTTCCCCCAATAGTGCAGATATTTGTGCAGATAAGTCTGCACAGTTGTTCTGGAGAAACCAAGGCCATGACCAATTGCTCCACCATAATCTTCTCTGCTGTCTGCTTAGAGTATAGATCTTTCCCTCCAGGAATGGAACTCCTTGAGCACAGAGAGGGACAATGAATGTAGGAGCCTTGGCTCTGGACACCTCTTTTGGGTACATGCAGGTGAGGGGGGGTGATGCCCATGCAGATTGTCCAGCAGTAAGTCATATACTTCAGGTGGTCAGTAGAGAGGCCTCTTTAAAGAGAACACCTCTTCTTGCCAGAGCAGTCGGGTCAATCTCAAAGACAGGAAAAGAGATGGACGTGCAGCAAGGGAAGAGTAAGAAGGGAGGCAGTCCTGAGGGCAGCCTGAATGCATAGAAACAACCATCAACTGAATCCCGCTGCCTCACTCCTCCCATCCCACAGGGGCACTTAGCAGAGGGCCCAGGCCCAGATGAGGGTCAGCACGGGGACCACCACCATGAAAAGGCAAGATAAGGATGGTCCAAATTAGCACAGAAACAGAACTGCCAAAGGCAGCAAGGGGAGCCCTGACCAGGGCGTGGCTCTCTCCTTGCTAAGTTATAAGAAATCAAACACAAAGCAAAGCAGCAACCCCTCCCTCTTCCCAGCTGCAGGTATTAGGGCTCAGTATCAGGGCCCACGTGCATTGTGCATCCTATAGAAATGGATGAGTGAGTACATGTCAGACTAACACGAGGTTTCTCATCAGCTTTGTAGCGGACACACTTCTGCAGCACCAATTCTCTTCCCTTCTACACTAAATGGAACAGTATAGCAACGTCCAGGCCCTCAGTCCCTCAGTTCCGAGGCCACTGCTTCTCAGCTGCCTCCACAGCAGGCTGGGAGCTCTGCATTCTCTCCCAAGTAGGTCTGACGGCCACGATGTTCTCATCAGCCTCATTCTAGGCGCTATGCAAGTTCAGAAGAAGTCCATTCCTAGACCTGGGGCAGGCAGGCCACCTCAGGGGCTGCAATCACATCACAGCCCCCAGAGCTCTGTCAGAGTTCTCGCCTGGCCCCCCGAGTCCATGGAGGCCAGAGGCCGAGCTCACCTCTTCAAGGCTGGTGGGTGAGCCGGCTGCTCATGCCAGGACGGGTGTCACACAAACTCCTGCCTTCTTGCCAGCCCAAGGGCTATCGGTGGTTTTAAAACGCATCATGGTATGGATTCCATTTTTTTTTTAAACAATCTTTTTTTCTTTTTTTTTCTTAAATGTAAAAAACACCTCGGTACAGCAGAGACAGACACGAAGGGCGGGCGGGAGGGCTGCATGCAGGGGCGTGCATTGGCTGCTGCCGCTTTGTAATTTAATTGTTTTAAACCTCAAACGAACAGGACTGCCGCTGTCACTCAGGCCCTCCAGAGCCACTGGCTGCGAAGGTTTGACCTCCGGCTGGGATCTCCTAATGCCCCTGTCAAAGAGGACAGATGTGGTAACAGAACAAAGGACAATAAGCACACAGATGAGTTCCAGGGACTTAAACACACTATACACATGGCCAAGTCTGCCTGAGAAGGTGGAGGATGGGGGAGAAGCTAGAATTTAAATATAACATCACTTCACATTTGCTGAGAGCAAATGCTTCACTTAGGAGTATCTTATTTAATCCTCACAACTCACAGAAATAGGAACCACTTTCTCTCTTTTTGACAGCAAAGGAAACTGAGGCTTGGGGTAGGGAAGTAACCTGTTCAAAGTCACCCAACTTAACTTGGAGTCCTGGGGCCAGACACAAGTCTGTCTGCCCGCCTTTGCCACGCCTCTGAGATGGTCGAGATCTCCTCCCCCAGTGTGACTTTCCCACCTCTGATCCCACCTGTCCCCTACCTCACACCCCCCCCCACCAGGTGCACCTGTGGCTGAGCTCACTGCAGCGGTGCAGCAGGGGCTCCTGAGCAGTGATAGTGGACATTGAGCCACTTGCCATCCCGGCGGTGCCAGACCCGGGTCTCCTCCGATTGGCTGGTGCGAGGCCGACCCTGCCCATCGATGTACTGGGTGAGGCGGATGTAGGCGATGCAAGCTGCGTCCTCCCCAATCACGTGGACGTGCGGGTTCAGGATGGTGGTGTGGATGGGCTTGCTGTTCTTGGACAGAACTGCAGGGGGCAAGGCAAAATGTAGGAGGTAGGAGGGCGTCAGGCCCAGGCTCGGATTTTCCTCCCAGCCTGCACTTCCAGGTTTCCCCCTCATTCCAGCATCCATTCTAGCAGTCTCTAAGTCCCACAGACACCAGAGGCCAGGAAATCCCAGGACAATAAGTCTCAGTTATCCAAAAGGAAGAAAGAGGTGGAGAACGAGGATAATAGCAACTGCTACTTTAATCAGACATTGTGCTGGAGTTTTACATACATAAGCTCTATTTCTTGGTCAATATCTTTATTATAAGATAAAGAAACAGGCTCAAGGAGGTTAAGTAATTTGCTCAAATCACACAACATTTGAACTCAGACCATCTGACTCTTTAACAAAGCCTAAGATCTTTCCACTCTTCTGGGCTGATGTTTAGATTTCCTAAGGGTTGGCTTGTCCCTAATTGGCTGCAGAGCAAAATCAAGAGCTTAAGACTTCAAAATGGATTTGTGATTTAGAAAAAAAAAATGTCCAAAGTTAAAATTGAATCACCAAAGCACCAAGCTCAGGATATTCCTGGGGTTCCCAGGTTCTTCTGGGGGAAAGCCAAAAGAAGTTGTTTTG